TATGTTTTTCAGCACGTTCAATTTCCAATAATTTCTTTGCATACAGTTTTTTTTTTGTGCTTATTGACCGATCGATAAGCTACGCACCTCACCTGACGATCTGCATCTGAGCTGTGATCTGAGGCAAGTGTTAGTCTGAGGCACAACATATATATCGCATCACAATGTATATTTGATAATGGTAATGATTTAGCTAATAAAGAAGTCGTAAATCCTATTGCCGTTACCGAGTTAGTATTTCAATTAAAACAAAGCTCGATACTAGCAGCTTGAAGTCCTAAAAAACGGCTCGCAAAAACTACATAATTTTAGCCTAATTTAAAGAAGCGTTGGCATAATATTGAACTTTTTACTAAGGTGTGATCGTAATTGCACGGGATCCACATGAAGATTTTCCATAATCTCACGCTTCACTTCTACCTTTCTATCAGGAATATCAACGTGAATGATTAATTTTCCATCAGAATCAGAATGGATCGTTCTTTGCCGGTTTAACTCTTTAAATTTGTGCTCAAGTTCAAAACACTGTGAGCATGCAAGATAAAATAAGCCAACTCCATGATGTCGCAATAACATTTCAGGTCCAGTTGTGAATATCTAATCGTAACCGTCAAAGCCTTCGATCTCATCTACTATTAATTTTGCTGTATCGTTTTTTGCAGCACTTAGTACATTATCATTGAGCTCAACACGAAGATTAAAGAATAGTTTTCATCCTCCCAATGTTAGTGATTTTATTGGCAGCATAATCAATTATCTCAGAAAAATATCTTCATAAACCGTTATCGTTTCGCTTTCAGACTGATGATTCTTAATAGATGATTTTGTTTTTTTTTGTAAAGCAATTTGAACAGGTTTTAAAAATTTTTCCTTTATGAAAAAAGGCTTCCGGAGGTAAGCTACGTTTGCAAGAGGTACAGTATTCACATTTCGAAAAAAAAGAAATTGATGTTAGTAGCCGTTCAATTTGGGTAAATATATAAATATATGAATGAATACTTATCACTTTTTCTTCGCTTTGATTAATACAATTTAAAATTAAGTATTGTATTATTATTATTTTTTTTTTTTTTTTCAGATTAATAAAATAATATTAAAAGTTTTTGGTCATGTTATCTGAAATTATTTTGCATTATATTACGTTTGGTATACATATTGTAACGTTTATTCTGACAGCATTACGACGAAGAATCGGGGATCGATAGCCGAGGTCAGACATGTGATCACTTTTCACGTGTTCGAAAAATCGCGGTGCTTTCCAATGATATTACTAGAAAACGAAAAAAAACTCACGTAATGAAGCTTACAAATTAATAAATACACGTAAAATTTACCGCAAATGTTTAAAGAATAGATAGATACGCGTAAAGTGGGTAATATACTAAAAAACCCAAACTCATTAAAGAATCTACGAAATACAGACCTATTTAGATTGCTTTATATTGATGTTGATAGTGATATTAACGAGGGATCATGTACAGAATTCATTTTATAGCTTAGGTTGATATTAACAGGGGTCTCCTGTATAAACTAAACCTTTAATTTACGGTTGATAAATCCAAACACGCTGCAAGAGCTGATCAAATTTCAACATTAAATCCGGATCTTCTATCACTTAAGACTTAAATTAAACAGCTAGTAATAAAAATATATTAATATAACGTAGTAAAATAATTTTAAACGAAACCACTTTTAGAAACCTTTACTTCGTAATATAATTTCACACAGTTTTGTTTGTTTAACCTTTGGCAATAACATTCTTAATTACCTTTTACCATTTTTATTAATTGTTTGCTTAATACACATAGCAATTTCGCTTCTGAGTAAAGTCTTTGTTTTTGGGATTATTTTTTGTATAGCGAAAGGCAACGTTCTTTTAAACCTAATAATAAAAAAAAAATTATTTTGCATAAGTAAAATAGTGAAACGTTGGAATTTGAAAAGTACTTTAAACTGTATAAATTAGTTACCCGGGCAATTGATTTACATTAGCCAATCAGACGAATGTTCTCCTATAAATAACGGAATCTATATATTGATTTTATTAATCGATATAATGAATTCAATATAACGATAATGCAAAAAAAAAAAAACTGTTTTTTTTTCTTTTTTAACTGTCATTATAACAGAATCCAGCCCAACTCGATTATTAACCCGTTATATAGTATAACGAATATGCTATATAACGGGATTTTTTGACCAGCCCAGATTTCCGTTATATCGATAGTTGACAGTAATATATTCTTTCTATTAATAAGGCCATACAAACTTAATAAATCGGTTCTCTTAACCCGGCCAGTTAAATTTTACAAAATTTTTACTATTCTGGTGAGTTTTTCTAAAAAATCTATAAAAATTCTGTTTTTTATACATAAAACTAGTGACTATGCCCGGCCTGCAATAACTGCTAGCCTGGTAAATGTATCGGGGGTCTCTACGTTTTAGCCTAAATATTTAAAGTAAATCATCCAGGTTCGCCCCCTTACTTCGATGGGCGTACTCGAAATAACGCGCAGGTGAGCGTTATTTCGCACTTGCACGGTAATAGTATTAATGAACTTGATTTACCTATTTTAAATACTTAGATCAACAAATTTTCATCATACTCGCCTAATTTAACGCGAACAAAATGAAATAGTGAATAGTTATGAACCTGAAGATTTTAAATTAATAAGTTTTCTTTTATAGTCATGCATTAAATTATACATGGGTGCCGAAATTCAGAGGATTTACGGCATTACGGCATGCCGATATTTTTTATATTTTCGGCATGCTAC